GGGTTGACAAAACGTGGACCCCCCCTTTCTGGACCCCTAATCTGGATCCCAATCTGGACCCCATTTTGGACCCCAATCTGGACCCTATTCTTGACCTTTTAAAAACCTACAGACCAGATTGTAGGACACAACTATTTGGATTTCAATATAACGATAGCTAACGATGATCGATTCATTCATTTAGCTTTTTTCGACTTTCTGAATCCTCAATCCTGATAATTTTAGTCATAATCTTGTACATTAGGGCATTGCTGGGCAACATAGTTATCCAATTAAAAATGTCTTACTGCAATAGTTTTCTTGTTTCATGTTCTTTTGAATAGGGATAAGCACTTTCAGTAAACTGCATGTTGTTTTTGTGACCTTGTAAAATACTGTGTAATGACATTGTCAATGTAGTGTCGGGTTGCTATAAATCGGCAAATTTACCCCGCTGCATTTACAGCAAAAATGTCAACAAATATTGGCTTGTGGCCAAATTATGGGTCACTGCCGAAGCCATCTCAAGAAATGCGGGTTGGGGACGGACTGCTTACAGCTGCCTATGTAATGTTTTCTTAATTTGCATGTTTTCTTAATTTGCATGTTTCCAGAAAGGGGTCCAGAATGGGATCCAGAATGGGGTCCAGAAAGGGGGGTCCACGTTTTGTCAACCCCCACCCCTGCACACATCACCTGGGAAGAGAATATTCTGATGACAGGCTCCATGCCTAAATAAAGTTTAATCAATCATCAAGAAAAACAACTATTTCTCGTTTCCCATGTGAAAAATTAACTATTTCACGAAAATTAAATAACAGGAAGCTAATATATTGTGACACTGAAAGCTGTACATTGAAAGCCTTTAAAACCAACCGATATATCTAGTAAAAATCAAGAAAATCCCACACACGACTGCAATCACGACTCATGCATGAACACGTTTCACGACGCAAAATCCGTCATTTCACATTTCATGAGAAAACATATACTGGCAATTCATGGGACAGACGCCTATACAAACGAATCATTCAGACAGCGTAATATCAATATCAATTTCATTTATATATACAGCGCTACTTAGCAAAATGGTTGGTTCGGTGCGCTTACCTATTGTTCCCTATTGAGTATTGTAGTTCGCCAGTCTGCATGACAGTGGTTGTGTATAAGGTTACGTTTATTATGGTTTTGCTAGTAAACTACAATCTTATAATACTTAACAACATTGTAGTTTATTAAGTAGATAGATTTGTATACTTATAATATTTTAATTGATTGTGAATTGTCATTGAAAAGCCCAATTATGGGAATGTCAATAAATGTAAGGCCCGTTTTAAACGTCGAATTTGGGTCGCGTCGAATGCAATTCAAACAATAGATAATGAAGCTTATATAATGAGGTTTATCATCTCATTATTTATTGTTTGAGTTGCATTCAACGCGACCGAAATTCGACGTATAAACAGGCCTATTGTACCTGTAAAAATTTGTACAGTCCAGAAGTTGAATTTCCGCCATAGTCAACATCACTCAATCAGTGGCGATTTTCCGATCACGAAGCAAATAACGAAGTATTTCGTTATATAAATTATTACTCACCTTCCTGGAAGCATCTGTTCGGTTGACTATAAAATGTAATGTCAAACATAGAAGACTAAACGATAATAGAACTCTTACACCAGCCATGCTTACACACTGATCTTCGTCAGAACCGACCGGAACGTCAATGATTTTATCCTCGTTTCATATTACAAACAAAGACACTTCCAGAACACGAGAAGTATTACTATTATGTTTCATTATATCTATATTTGGAAAATGAAACAGTCAAACAGATGCGATATAACCGATATTGACGTGCTGACATGCTGAATGATACTTGGTTATATTGATTATTGGTTTGGAATCTGAATATTTTCAGTTTGAATAATCAAAACCCTTAAGGCTTTAATAACGGCTTAACCATGTAAGACATGTAAAAACAATATAAAGGGCTAATATATTAAGTTAGCACTTGCATATATCAACACGTTGAGAACATCTCTTTCAATGAGCTGATCTCACCTGGAGAACACAATATAAAGGAGTGTCCCTTTATGTCTTAATTGTGTCATGTGCCGTGGGTTAAAAGTCGTGTGTCGTGAGTAAAAATTCTTGTGTCGAGGGCAAAGCCATAAAAAATTATTTCGCGAAAATATTCTTATTTTTCATTTCACGATTTTTAACCCACGACACACGACATAAATTGGGACACCCAACACAAAGATGCCAGATTTTTCGACGCCCGAAATGCGAAAAGAACAAAATGAACTGGTTTCCACACTGTTTTGGAACTCGGCTCATCGAAGAATCCTCCCACGTCGACCCCCCAGCCAAGTTAACTATATCAGTCGCCATTACAGCAATCTGTCCTTTGCGGTTAGTAAGGTCGGTGGTTAATGCCATACCCATGTCAACAAAATCCTGGTATACTTCGTCAAAAATCCCTTTAAAAATTCTTCAAATAATTCCCCATAAGGGACCGGTCATTATTTATGGTGGGTGGTGGCACCATAGACAATCCAGAAGACATCTTCTGGATTGTCTTCTGGATTGTCTATGGTGGCACCGAAGAGAAAATGGTTGGGTAAACTAAATTTTGAGTAAGTAAAAGGTTGGGTAAATGAAAAACAAAACAACTCAAGGGTTGGGTAATAAAAAGTTATAGTCATATGTCAATACAATTGTGAATCAATCAGTCACTGTCTTGATCATTTTCCAATTTGTTAGAAGACAAATGGTGTCTCCAAAGAAAGCACGTGTGCAGACATGATACATTAGACTGCTGACTGCAGCAAATTTCACAAGCAGTTATCAAACTCCTGTCACAGAAATCGGGTAAAGGACATATGTGGCAACTGAATGGTAACCTTTTGTAAAGTTTAATTTTGGCCAGGGGTGGGTATTTATTTTTTACTTGATATTTGAGGTTGGGTAATCAAATTTTTGACTTTTTAATGGTTAGGTCAGCAAAATGTTTGCCACGAAAAACATTTCTCTTCGGTGCCACCCCCCACCATAAATAATGACCCGTCCCTTAAAAATCCCAGAAAACGACTACAGATCTCGAAATCTCTGGAAAATCCTTCATAATTCAAAAAAATTCTCTAGACATCTTTCAAGGATTTAAAATTACAAAAATTCTTGTTCATTTTAATTTTTCCCAGGGTAATATAATTACGATAAGATGAATCATAATTTTTACATGTACATGTGAAATATTGTTCTTCGTCTCAAATTATTAGTCTAATATTGCTTGAATTTGTCGCTCGCTGTTTCCGTCAACAAACCACTAGGACTGTATCTCGTTTTTCTAATTTCCGTTTATTCAAACAAAGTTTTTTCAATCAATCCAACAAACCAATTCTATATACATTCCATACGATTTCTAAAACCTTACATGCTACAACAATTATATCTTAGACTCATATACTCTAAAACTGGCAACAAAATACTTTATATATAGCTCACGTGTTTTACTGAACCACAGAAAGTTCGTTCCCTTAGTAATGTTTAAAGTGTGTCATATTTTTCATCCTTTTTTTCTGCATGGGTGGGGTACTCACGCTTCGCTTTATGTGATTGCCGCCAAGGATGTAACTTGGGTATTACGGCAGGGGGGGGGGATTAGCTTGTTTTGCCCGACCAAAAGGGTGTGGCGGAAGTCGTGCCCGACAGATATTTCAGACGCTAATTAATACTGATCTTTTATCAAAATTGTTGGCAAGCGGGGGGGGGGGGGGG